CCAATTTTAATCATAATAAAGTCATTTATCATATTAATATACATTCCTAGTTTGATACTTAGTAAATATGATAATAATCTATTGAATAAATAATACTTATATTATGATAATTAGACAATATTTCTATAATAATATTTGTAAAAATGATAAAATATAACAATAAAGTATCAAATGTTTATTTTTGCTGAAGAAATATAAAAATTATGTTCAAAATAATTGACAGTCAAAAGAAATACATTATTTTGATTTAATAATATATATTTCAGAACTATTAGTAAATCTAAATCCTTTATTTAATTAAATGTATTTGTTGGTAGACTCTTAAATATGTTCACAACTAAGAACAAAATAAATGATATTCAAATTATTATTCTTTTTTTATGATGAACTTTATCTCTGATTTAGATGTAATTCCTAAAATGAAGAATTTACCTTATTCCAATAAATATATAGATAAATAATTAAATGGAGACTTTTTATTGTATTAAATTTAAAAAATGCAATATAAAAAAGTAATTAAACAACTATTACATCTTTTGTTTAATATGACTTTCAATGCATTAATATAGATGTATATGAGAAATTGCATTTTTTATAATATGGTTTTGGAGTATTGTTTTTTTTTTGTATTACTTTTCTTGAAGCTATTCATTGTTTGTTAATTCTTTTAAAAAAAATACGAATTTTTATTTCAGTTTTTCAATGATAACAGAAAGGATGGTATTTATACCAAAGTTCTTGAACAGAATATTACTATTTTATTATTAATTTTTGAGAGTAATAAAATATTCTTATTGTCTTTTCTTTTGTTTTTCATCTACTAACGATTCTCTATGTTTCATGTTGATTCAATCTTTGTAACTAATATCTATCATAAAATGTTTCTTGACAATCTTAGTATTGTCAATGAATAAAATAAGTGTATAACAACAAAATATTATTGTCAATGACACAACTGTAATAGTAGTTGATATTGTTATTCACTATGAGTGATGATTTTAAAAAATAGAAGAATAGTCAAAAGAACAAAAGGATAAAAATGAAGAATGTAAAAAAGAAACTAAACGCATAGTATGAA